AGTGCTTCACAGCCCTTTGAAGGCAGCTGAGATGGGTGGGGAGCCCTGGGTGGGGTTTTCTGGAGGCAGAGGAGGTTTTGATAGAGCCTGGACCGGAGCAGGAGAGAACATTGGCAGCTTTGATTAAGTTAAAAACTGCAGAATCAAACTCATTATTAATATAGCTTTATGCCACTGCATGTTGTAAGGTTCTTTCTAAACCTGTCACTGCAATTTATCATGCTAGCAGTGTAATAAAATACAGCTATAAAATTTTGGATTAAATGTTCAAGGTCAATGGTGGACTTTCAGCTTCCCTATCTCTTCCTTGCTGCTTTAGCAGATGCTCTATTAAGCACTTACAAGCTCTGGGAGAAAGTTTTTTTTTTTGAGGAAAAGATTTAGTTGTGGAGCATTTCCAGAATTAAATCTTCAGGTAATTTGATCTTCACCAAATTACAAACCAATAAATAACAAGACTAATAAACACTGGGTGGTTTCAGGTGGAGGCTTTTTTACCAGAAGCACTCTCATTTTTATTGTGTTTACAAAATGTGGCTCTCTGCTGCTGTCTTTGTAAAATGGACAGAGATTCTTTAATTTTAAGGGGAATTTGGATGTGAGAGAGCAGCACCCTGGGGATTTTGGGGGGAGTTTCACAGCAGGGTATAGCAAAACTGAGACAAGGCTCCACTGCAGCACATTCTGAATAAAAACAATGATGGTGCTGATGCCAGGAGCCTGAGCTTTCTATGTATTAAAGGGCAACAGAAGCAGCACATATTTACACCCACAAGCTGTACATAAACATGCACAGTGATCACAAAATAGTGAAATTCTCTAAATTACTAAAAAGAAGCTCCAGTGTGCCCTGGTGTAGCCCCAGCTATTCAAAGCAAGCAGCTGAAATGACTCTGCAGGAGGATCTGCTCTCTGAGCTCCCCTTGGATGATTCCTGTTATTCCATTATAAAGATGGAGGAGGCATTTGGCCACACAGTCACCATTTTTAAAAAAATTTAAAAAAGAAAATGCAGATCCTGTCCTGGTATTAAATTATTCTCTCCATTCTGGCACATGTGCCAGGAGGCTGGCTCGTTGCTCCAGCTCTAACAGTTGGCCATAATAAAGGATATTACTTCTTCCCACCATCCCTACCTCTCTTGCAGCCTCACAGGAGACCATAAGAGCTACAAGAACATTACTGCTATTAAATTAGTGGCATCACTATTTCTTATTTTCAGAACATTTGGCTGTTTCCCCTGACGCTGAATAGGACAACTAATTTACTAGCAAATTAATGCTGCTTTATCTTTTCTTTCCTGAGAGCTCTGCTGCTTTCCCTGCTTTCCCCAGGGACACCTCTGTGGCCTAGCTTGAAATTGTCACCCTCAAAAGTGGGACAAGGGCAGCTCAGTTTGGTGAACCTGGCACCACCACACAGCCCAAATCAGGAGGTGCCAAGGCCAAAGGCTTTTGGCTTTGCAATGAAATTGTTTCCTGAACAAAACTCACCCCTATATCTGAGGAAAAACCTTGGAAATGTTGGTCTTGTGTGGGCCAGAGAATCATTAAAGGACCTCTAAGATCATTGACCAGATCCTTTTTCCTTTTTTGTTCCCATGCATCAAAGACTCTGCTCTGCAAAACCTTTCTCATTTGGGGTAAGGAATGAGCTCTTCACCCATGACAAGAAAGAAAAGTAGAAACACTGTAAAATAAATCCTTCTTTATCAGATTGATAGGGCTTCAGCCTGTGGGATTTGGGCAGAGAAAAGCAATGTTCCCTCCTGCTCCTCACTCCCAAACCTCCCAGCCTGCCCTGTGCAATTGGAAATGTGGAATTGCTGAGCAGGAGCTCTGGCAAGAGCTACAAGTACCCCATCATAAAGTCCAGGCTATCCACTTTACTGCACAGTAATCTGTTTTACTGCTTGTATTACAGTGACAGAATTGTTTTCTGCAACCTAGTTCAGATTAAGAAACTGGGGGATAAGACACATTAACTTCTGTAATATATATTGCCAGAGCCCTGGCTGGTGTAAAACAGCCTCCTGGGGGAATTCAGCAGAAAGCAAAGGGCAGAAACAGTCCTGGCTGCTGATTTTCAGCTTTAGTCTGAAAAACTGGAGCTCCTTTGGTGCTACAAGCAAAGCCTTAGGTGGTCACTGTAAATCTGCAACCATGCTGTCAGAATCAACACAGCTTCTCCAGCGGAGATTTGGGTTAGTTCATGTATTTTCAGAAAATAAGCTTCATTTGCATTATTTATGAAATGCAAACGCAAGCTCTGCTACAATGTGAGCAGCACAGTCCAAAACCAAGTCCTTAGACCAAGGAGAACACCAAGGAAACCAGGCACTGTGTCACCACCAGCTGTGGCCAGTGGAAACACCAACCTCTGAGTGCCCTGCAGAGCACCAGGCTGCCCTGGGGCTGCAGGGGCGGGGATGGGGCAGGGATTGCCCTCCATGGCCACAGCTGACACTGCAGATTGGCCCCTCCACACCCCAGGGACATGTCCCCCCCTCCAGGGACATGTGCCTGATGCTTCATGTGCTCAGTGTCCCCAGTGTCCCCATAGGGCTGCAGACAGCATCACCTGCACAGCCTGTGGCCCTTCTGCCTCACTGGGGAGAGGAAGGGAAGGGATGGATGTGCTCTGGCAATAATCATCTGGTTTGGTAGCTCTGTTAGCTGCTCAGGAGTATGTTGAAACCTTGGTGGTTTAAAAATTTCTTATTTTGGAAAGATGAGCAAAAATGTGTTCTGGTTTTTCAGCAGGGTAAATCAAGCCTTGCATGCTCACAGTTCCAACAGGCACTGCCACAGAGCAAAACCAGAGGGTTTCCAAATCACTGGAGTCATGCATAAGCTACACCCACTGTGGTGTTAAATGCCCACTCAGTCACAGCAGAGTGTCAAACACACTCTTGGACACTGGTGTTTCACTGCTCCAAGCTCCAGCAGCTCCCACCACGCCCTGTCTGCACCACCCAGCACCTCAGCCAGGGGCACAGGGAGCATCCCAAGCACCCAGAGCACAGGAGGGGAGGCTGGAAACTGGACTTAGAGCAGCTGCAAGCAAGAGATTGTACAAAGAGATTGTTTGGAGGATTTTTCACTAACAGGATGGGATGCTGGGGTACGTTCCTTGAGCTTTTATTGCAGCATCAGTTTCACTACATGGTTGAGACAATAGAAAGATGACAAAAGCTCACATACAACCAGCAGCAGCCAAAGATTTCTTTGTTACAGAGCATTTTTAAAACTTTCTGGCCAATAGCATATTGCTAAAGCTTATAAACAATTGTTCTAGCCAATCACTAAAAGAACACATACACCTGCTGCACACAATGCTTCCTTGTATGCCATCTATTAACAACATGTAATACACTATTATTAAGCTTAAAACCTTCTACTATCCTGCTAAGCATATTTTTCTACAGCCTTAAGGTCTGTCTTAACCAAACTTTAAACCCAAGCTATTGTTTCATGTCCTTGCTTGCTGTACTACTGCAACTTCTTCTACTTTCAGACTTTGCAGCTGCAGCTAGTTCTATGTTTTCTGCTCTTTCTGTTTCTAAAACCTACTTTTACAGCTTTCTAGAAATCATTTTACCTTTACTATTTCCCTCAACAGTCACCTGCAATTCAGCTGTATCGTCCCCCACATCACTGTGTAACAGCATCAGGGAGAGTGAAGCTAAAGCTCCTGCAGAAAGGCAGGAGATGCTCAGCTAATCAGGATAAAAGTCCTCTGCAACATCCCAGGTACAGAGCACACAGCACTGACTTGGAACACTTGGAGAGACAGAGAAGAAGGTGGGCTGGAAAATGAGCAGCTGGAAGGAGGCAGAGGGATCAGAGCAGCATTTCACCTGCTCCAGCACCTCATTTGCCATAAGCTGAACCCCAAGAGGCTCAAGCTCCCCATTGAAATCCCTGTGAGTAACTTGAGGTGCTGCCAGGTGCAGGGTTAATGTGCCTCACTTGGTCATGGTCAGGCACAAAGCATCTCTTCCATATCAAAGGAGGGGACAACATTTTTTTATTGGAAGACACAGCAGCGCTGGCAACAGCTCACAGAGGCATCCACGGAGCCCACAGGTAAATACTTTGGCGCTTTTATTGCAGTGTAATGGGACAGCCAATGGGACAACAGCACTGGGACAAGCAGAGCATTTCTCTCTCTAAATGACTGCTTGCGTTCTGCCCTCCAGGTGCTCCATTTGTGGGTTCTTATATAGGAACTAATATAGGAGCTTTAGAACTATAGGAACTTTGCAGAGCTCATCTCTGTAGGACCAAGTCTGGGTTACAACAGAGTGGATTACAATAGGTACTGACTCAAGCCTCACTTCTACCCTACAAACTTACACAAAGCAACTTTATTTTCATTAGCAACTGTGCTCTTGCACTATAGTGCATTATTAAGGGAAAAATAAAACCATCTATGTAAAAACAAAGATTATTCTCAGAATGTCTTTAATAGACAGGATAAATATTGATGAAGCTTCCTGCAATTGCAGAGTGTGGTTCCTGTCCACCTCCAGCTGAAGATTTAATCAAGGGCAGCCCATGTATTTCATTCAGTCATGAAAGTGATATTGAAATCATAAAAAAGAGCAGAGTTACAAGCACTGCTTTACAACTGATAGGGATGACTGGTGATTTCATTGCTGTCTTAACCAGCTGCCACAATAAACAAGCAGCTACTTCATTTATTATTCTACTCCACACTTAGCCCTGGCTGAAACCCAGACCCAGTTATTTCACACCAGCCTGTTCTCAGGGCTTTTTCCCTGATGCCCATAGAAAGTTTCACAGGTAATCTTCTGATTTCTGGTAGGAGCCCCTCAGGCTCTACCTATGACTTGTCTGCCTAAACAAACATTTGGAAACATGATCAGAAAGTGAATCTGTGGATGGTGGCCATAGAGATGGACACTTGGTGGCTCTGCTCTGGCCCAGAGTGGAGGTTTCTGGCTGCTCTTACAGGGCTGGTGCAGGAGCACTCACCTGCACCGTAGGTCGTGGCCAGCATGATGGACGAGACCCAGGCGATCTCGCTATAGGACGTGCCAAAGAAATCCTGGATTTCTTTGAAGAAGATGGCCAAGCCTTTGGGGAAGGCGTAGGCGAAGCCGATGGAAACGAAGGCGCCGAGCAGAACCATCCATCCCCAGCCGCCGTCCGGCGGGCCGGGGACACGCCCTGCCTCGGCAGGGGCCGGCATGGCCGGGGATGGCTCGGGGAGCCCTGAAACAGAGGGGGCCACAAATAGTTCTGGGCTCAGACCCGGGATGCTGCTCCTCCTTTGGAACCGCTGTCCCGGGATGCTTGCTGCTCCTCTAGACCCCAGTCCTGGCGTGCTGCTCCCCAAAACCCCGCAGTCCTGAGATTCTGATCCCCTGGACCCCCAGTCCCGGTATGCTGCTCCCCTGGACCCCTTCATCCCAAGATACTGCTCCTCCAGACCCCAGTCCTGAGATTCTGTCCCCCTGGACTCCCAATTCTGAGACTCTGGATCCCCAGTCCCAGGATGCTGCTCCCCTGGAACCCCAGTTCCAGGATGCTGCTCCCCAAACCCTCAGTCCTGAAATCCTGCTCCCCTGGACTTCTCAGTTCTGAGACTCTGGACCTGCAGTCCTGGGATGATGCTCCCTTGGACCCCGTGTGCCAGAATACTGCTCCCCACATCTGTAGTCCTGAGATTCTGCTCCTCTGGACCCCCACTCCCGGGAGTCTGCTCCTCTAGACCCCCAGTTCCAGGATGCTGCTTCCCTGGAACCCCAATCCTGAGATTCTGCTCCCCTGAACCCCCAGTCCCAGGATTCTGCTCCCCTGGACCCCCAGTCTCAAGATGCTGCTCCTCCAGACCCCAATCCTGAGATTCTGCTTCCCTGGACCTGCAGTCCTGGGGTGCTGCTCCCTCAGACCCTTTGTCCCAGGATTCTGCTCCCCACATCTGTCAACCTGAGATTCTGCTCTCCTGGACCCCCCAGTCCCAGGATGCTCCTGCCCTGGAACCCCATTCCCAGGATGCTGCTCCTCCAGACCCTCAATCCTGAGATTCTGCTCCCATGGACTCCCAGTCCTGAGACCCTGGACCCCCAGTCCCAGGATGCTGCTCCCCACATCTGTAGTCCTGAGATTCTGCTCCTCTGGACCCCCCAGTCCCACGATTCTGCTCCCCTGGACCCCCAGTCCTGGGATGCTGCTCCCTCGGACCTCTAGTCTCAGGATTCTACTTCTCCAGTCCTCAGTCTTGGAGTGCTGCTCCCTGAAACCCCAATCCCGGGGTGCTGCTCCCCCCGAGCCCCCTGCCCCCCGCACACACCTCGGCTCAGGTGGGTCCCGTGTGCTGCTGCGCCGCCCCTGAGCCGCTGGGGCTGCGCCGGGGCAGCGGACGGGGCAGGAATGCCACGTGTACCGGGGGAAACCTCAAACAGCGGCTGCAACGCGCTGCTCTGCCCCGCCCCGTGCCTGCCGAGCCCGGGGACACCGGCGGGACACGGGTGGGACACTGCAGGGACAATGGCGGGACAATGGCGGGACAATGGTGGCACCCGCGGCCGGAGCGGACCCAGCTGCGGAACGCGGCTCTGCCTGAGCGGGACCGGCTCCGAACCCCCCGGCTGTCACATCCCTCACTCCAGCTCCTGTCCCCTCGCCTTTCCTCGCCCCCAGCCCAGGCAGCAGCACCCCTGACCCCGCGGGCGTTAATTAAACCACCCTCAGTTACTTAAATGCAAATTGTTCTTTTTTACTTCCCTGTGTTTCCATCTACATCCTTCCTCTTTGCCGTACTTTTCCGTTTCCATCTACATGCTTCCTCTTTTCTACCCCAAACCAAGTTGTTCGCTGCTCTCCTGCCCCTGGACCACATCATCATTACAAAAGAAAAAGGAGAGTGATTTTTTACACCCCTGCCCCTGGACCACATCATTGTTATAAAAGAAAAGGAGAGTGATTCTTTACACGGGTAGATGCTGATAGGACAAGAGGGAACAGATTTAAACTGGAAGAAGGGAGATTTAGTTTGGGTGTTGGGAGAAAATTCTTCACAGTGGGTGTGCCAGGGCATTGGCACAGGTTGCCCAGAGAAGCTGTCTCATCCCTGGAAGTGTCCAAGGACAGGTTGGACAGGGCTTGGAGTAACCTGGGATAGGGGAAGGTAGCAGGGGGTTAGAATGGGATGGCCTCTAAGGTCCCTTCCAACCCAATTCAGAATTCTGTGGTTCTGTGATCACTGCAGACTTCTGCCCCCCGTTCATGCTCACCAGTTTGCTGGGTATTCTAGTTTTCACATGGGGCTCTGCTTGGGAAAACATTAAGCAGTGTTTGCTCTGGCTGGGAAGGTGCAGTTTCACCATAGACCTTTTATCTTTCTCAACCTTGCCTCCCCCTGCCTTAGCTAACAGTTAGCCCTGTGTGTGCCCCATTTTTCTACTTGCACCATGAAGCAACTGAGACAGGAAAAAACCAGGGCCTTACTCTGAAGTTTACCTGGCACAGTTAATCTGGAGCTTTGAAATCTCCTCACAACACAACTGTAAGATGCTTTATTACTGCCATTTCTCTCTTCCTATAAAACTGTGTAAACTCAAAACGACCAGACACCTTTACCCTCAGCTGTGGGGTCACAGTGTGATGACTTGGGGAGTTTTATTTTGGTACAGCCCTGGCCAACTTCATGGGCTGTGAGGATACCAGCATTCAGTTGCTTCAGTGTTCTGTTAAAAATCAAAAATAAGGCCAAAATGGAATAAACACACCTAAGACTGAGCTTGGCACATCCTTAGCAGGAGCAGGGAAGGTAGGAGGACACATGGAAAGCTCAGGGAGCAGAGGGATGGAGGAGCAGGTACAGCTTCAGCCATGGAAGCTGCAACAGCTCTCAGCTGAAGATGAGAATTTCCTCCTCCAGAACTACTAAATTGTGTGTCATGCTAAAGAATGGCCCCTGCAGCCAGCCCAGCAGGGCACCTCTGGGTAAACTTTCGCACAAACTCAGAACTGGAGCAGGACAGCAGTTGCAGCAGGTGATATTGGAGGCAAACAAATGATTTCTAAAGATGTCAAATGTGGTGTTTGCACTGCTGCTGCTGCTCTGAGGAGGATCACAAGCAAAGCAGAACAGCCTGAGGGCAGAGGGCGGCAGTGACACTGGAAACCTGGGCTCAAAGGTCAGAAAGGATTTCCTGGCAGTTTGGGAGCCTTGGGCTGCTCTCAGAGCAGCTGCCTGTGCCAGGGCTCCCATCCATGTGGGGAGCAGGCTCTCCCCTGGGACCAGGCTCTGCTTTCTCATCCACCGACAGCAGACACTTCCTGGAGGGCAGGTTTTTTAATTTGCTGGCAAGCAGCAACAAAATTGATTAAAATTGCAAAACACCTTTCCAAATGACTCGTTTCCCTATCACAATATTCCATGTAAATAAGTGCCTGCTATTGTAATTCCCAGTGCTCCAGAGCTGCTCAAAGAAGAGGGGCATGCAGGAGCAAAGCAGAATCTGAAACTCTTCCTCTCCCCCCATCTTCCAATCTTCACAAAGCTTTCTGTGACAGTTCCCAGGTGAGGATTTTCTAATCAAATGAACTCACAGCCTTTACTTATTGAAGCCCAAGGTCTGAGGGGCAATATTTAAAATTAGAGAACCACAGAATGGCTTCAGGGAGCATCCCCCTGGCATGGGCAGGGACACCTTCCAGCAAACCAGATTGTTCCAAGCCCCATCCAACCTGGCCTTGAACATTTCCAGAGATGGGGCAGCCACAGTTTCCCCGAGCAACCTGTGCCAGGGCCTCTTTTCACTTTATCCACATAGTAGAGCACTTAAGTTCCCCCAAAAAAAGTGACTAGTGAGGACAACTTGAGTGGTTTTTCTTGTTTTGGAGAAATTGAAAAAAAAAAAACAGCGTCAGGAGAAAACCTCTGGACCCCCTCAAGAATCAAAAACATTTCTATTTGTCTTCAGTGAACCACTTTGGCACTTGGAAATAATTTCATTCAAAGCCTTTTATGCAAAGCAGTTTGTAGCAGCCAAAGGTAAGAGCTACAACTCTATAACTCCAACAGAGTTTTTCCTTCATGGAGTCTTTGGAAGTCAATTAAAGACTTTAGAAATTGCTTCCACATTACAAAAAAAAAAAAAACAAAAAAACCAAAACCATACCTAGCTCTGCTGCTTGAAAACAGCATCTGGTAAATGCCAGAAGAGGTACCTCTGCACTTCTTTAAAGGGCCTTTAATGGCACACCTCATTTCTTAAACCTGCTCTATTGTCATGTTCCATTTGCTCATAAAGTGCAGCAGCACTGAAATCCAATCCACAGCCAGCTAAAATGGAGCTCCTGAATTAATGGATGAGAATATAGACAGCAATTTTCTGCAAAACCAAAGGGCTGGACCCATGTGATAGCATCACAGGAAGATGAGAATTCCCTTCTCCAGGAGGGAATGGCACATAAATTGGGTGTCATTCTAGAGAACATCCCCTGCATTTGCCTTGTGTGACCTGTCCTAGGAGAGAGACATCACATCCTCAAAAAATAGGCCCATTTATTTGTGCTCCTAATAAAATTCTTAACTTTTTCCAAGGGATCAATCCATACAGATAGAGAGTAACACTCGAGAATAGATTTTAAGTCACCAAAATTCTTGGCTCTGGACTCCAAGCTGATGCCACCACAAAATGCCAGCTGGGGGACAAAGCATCACTTCCCTTCCCAGTAGCACAGAATTACCCTTGTACCTTGTGTTCTCCCCACCTGAGCATGACCAGGCTGATAAAACACATTCCTCTGTGTTCAGCCACAGGACTCCAGCACTCAGGGATTTACCGCTAATATTTCCATGCCTGGGTTTTCAATTAAAGGGAACCAAACTCTGAATGGTGGCTCCTGGGGCACTGAGCAGCAGGAGGGGAGCAGGCAGCACCCAACCAACACGTTCCAAGTGGCATCTGTTGGTCAGACCTGGTCAGGCCACATCCCCTGGCATCTCTTTGGCTATTTGGGAGGGGAGGGAACGTTTAATTTCCATGCAGCCTCTTTACTGCTGTGTGAGAGGTTCTGCTGCAGGCAGAGCCACCAGCCCCTCACCTGGTGATGAGGTGACACTGCACAGAGACAAGGGACATCAGTGCTGGCAGCAAAACCACCTGAGACAATGGCAGAGCCTCCTGGCTTTGTTTTTCACTGAGCAATATGTTTTACAAAGGGGTCGAGGAGAGG